AAATGACTGTGCGTGTGTATGCATATATATCTTATATTATAAACATACTTTTATGGAGTCTTATGGTGCGATCAGTTATGAGTGTTATTACACAGTAGGAGTGCAGAAGAGTTGAAGGAATTGCAAGGATTTCAAGAATGCTTACATCTTTAAACCTTTTATTGAAACTGTTGAAACTGTTCTCTCACCCATCTATCTGAACAGCTATTTTTTTTTCAACTATAAGCCACTAAAAATCATGTAAAAATGAGCTTTACAGCCCTTGACACATACTGTCTCTTTAAAAGCTGGCAGGATAGACCAAGGCTTGTTAAGTCAGACAAATGAGCACTCTGTTTGTTTTTGTTGTTGTTGTTTCTTTCTTTTTCTTTTCTTTTCTTTTTTTTTTAATTAGAGATGGTGTAATGGTGTAAAGTTCCTGTTTCTAGTTTTCCAGGACACTTGGCATAATATTTTGCAGTGTTTACATAGTGTTACCAAGAAAGCTTTTCTGGTCCAGGTCTGGAAATCCTCTTACCTTTCATAAGGAAGAATATTGCTTTGGGAGGGAAGGACATATTTTCTTGTAACAGTTTGTGTAACTTCTTGTAGACTGCTGTGTAGTGGGAGGCTTGCTTCCCAACCTCCCTGCTAGTAATATGAAGGGGGAAAGGATATATGTTGCATTTCATGAGGGTCTGCATGCATTTTTGAGACAGGATTCTTTTTCAGTGCAAATATCATTTCCAATGGCTCTTCTGTCTGCTACCGATCACTGGTCTGGGGCATGAAAATCCAGAAAATTTCTGGAAATCTCACTGTACCTTTAAGTAAATGAATGCCAAATATCTTACAGGATTATAATGCACCTATCTATTTTGCACCCTACTTGCAAAATTTTCCTTTAGAATTCCTGAAAGATAAATTGTGATTTATCTATAGCAGCCTGACAATAGCACCTTACTCATGATGATACTTATTGCACAGGCAGTGAAGGAAAAAGAAGATGTCGAGTCTGAGGATCTATTAAGGAGACTCATAAATGACTTTTCTGCAGGCAGTATTAAGACTTTGTGCTTTAGGAGAGTCTTATGCTAGAAGAAGAAACTGTAAGTCCACTGAGAAAGGAAGAACTTCAGTTTCTCCACTTAACCATACACATTCAGGGATGAGATAGCCGATGTCTTTGGAAGGAAACTAGGGACAGTGCAACTACCAGGTTTTTATTTCTAATCAAGGTTTGTTATAAACAGTTTTGAAGCTGGGAACATTTATATAGGCCCAGTGAAAGAGAGTGCGAAACAGTTAAATGAACGAAGATATGTATGCACCAAATTGTAACTGTTCACACATCTCTCTGTGGGGTAATAAGAACGTTGCATTACAGACACTTTCATTGCATTTGTAAATCATTTTACAGCGCTTATGAATTATTACTTCTCATGAATCCATATATTTTACTTTTATTGGTATTTTGATTAAATTCTCATTCAGTGTAAACAAACAAAACAAAGCTTCCACATTTAAACTACCTTTAAAATTTATATCGTCTAATTATGACATTAGCACAAAACAATATATCCTAATCTGCAGCAGTAAACTGCTGCAAAACAATATCACTGCTAATTAAACCAGGTTTAATTTAATGTTTACCAATTATTCAAATATTCTCTGAAGAGGGGAAAGAATTAGATGAGCTGCTGGAGCATTTCACTGTGCACGTTCATAATATCAGTCTAGAGAAGAAGCTCTTTTAGGGTGCTGAACCTTTTTCAGCAGATGGCTTAGCAAAATCTGATAGGTTCGTCTTAAATACAAAGGTAGTATACTCTGACCTGGGGATTTTGAAAAGGCCTAGTAAAATTCTTTATTCCAATACAGAAATGGAAACAAACAGCAGTGCAACCTAGGATTTACCTTGACTCCTTCCCACTGCAAGCTCTCAGAACCCTCCAACTGTTCCTTCCCGATTAGCCTCTGCTGAAAGTCTCCTAGAAATCCCTAATTACCTAGGACAGTTAGCCCTGTCCACCTGGACTAAACCTCATCTGGTTTTGTAAATGGAAACACAAAGAACTCTGGTTTAAAAAATATATAATAATTACTCCTTGCTCATCCACAGAAAGTAGAAAAATTAAAACAAGATGATCTTTCAAACCGTGTTCACACCATATATAATAATTACTCCTTGCTCATCCGCAGAAAGTAGAAAAATTAAGATGATCTTTCAAACCGTGTTCACTCATAATGCTCACTCATAATTCCTACAACATTTCTTTTCATAGACAGCTTGCCAACATATCAGAACTGCTGAGTGGAGAACAGGCAGGGCACCCAGCTCTGCTTATGATTTCTGTTGTCTATCCCTGATGACCACAGACCTTGGAGAGATTCTGACTATCTACACCGAAAATCTTTTCTGCTCATAAATACTTGAAGCAAACCAATAAAGTTAATGTCACCAGATTTACATAGCGTAATTAGTCCATAAATAAATACTAGGTCTCTTAAGTTGGATAAGAAGGGAAGAAGAGTAAACAGAGCATAGCCTAAGATCTAAGTGAAAAGACTATGTGTATGAAAAATAAAGTAAGAGTTTTGAGATGGATTAGGAGACTGATAAAACTTTTTATTGGTAAAAGCATACAGCAAAGCTTTTAAAGAAAACCTAACAATAACAGCCATTTCTTTCTTGAAAGAAATTTGATGTCTATGAGGCTTTGAAGGACCTTTTGCATTGTGATTATCATAAGGTTAGGGCCAAATTCTGCCTGGAGCAATGCACTAGATAGGCCTTCTGTCCTGCCCTAGCACCAGGGACTCACCAGGACTCAGCTACGCCTAGCTCAGGGCTATGCAAGTGCCTGGACCTACAGCCCATGCAATCCCTGAGGGCTTTTTCTGGAAAGCTGTGGAAGCCCCACTTGCTAGATAAATACCTCTTTTTCAGTAATTACCTGATTTCCATGTAGCACTAGAAATACAATTCTCTGGAACAGGACTTTGCAATGTGTCACAAAAAAAATATTTGTACCACATACAGGCACTTCTGCTATTTCACGAGCACATCTGCCCATGATGGCAGTGCTGCTGATCATCAGCACTTGCAACAAGCTATGACCAACAAGGACGTTTGGTAGCAACATGCTAATGTTGGATTACATATGGGCATGCTAGTAGCTCTTTGTTCAAGACAGGGAACCACAGTCTGAAATACCAAGTTACGATCATATCTTGCAAAAATATTTATACGTTCAGAAAAAAAAAGTGCAGCTTAAGCAAATATGAAATATAGTTCCTCTGACACAATTATTTTCATATCCTAATAGCTATCTTTTCATTAGACAGTTTGGAAATTAATGGACTATTACATATATGAAAATGCCTGTTCTGTTTAAAAAATTTTCCTTTGGAAAAGCAATCTGGTATGGTTTAGTTAAATGTTTAGTATTTAACAATTTGATGTTACTACACACTTGTGAGCATATGTAGGACAGCCATGAGTCTATTTTTATTTGTTCTAAGTGTGCTAATCTGTAATTGGATATAATGAATATAACATTTATGAAAGCTATGTTCATATGGTCCTGTTGCATTGATAGTTACAGTAAGACTAGACCCCTTACAACTACGCATGAACTATTCCAAATAAAAACTGAACACTTTAATTGTATTTCCAGATGTTTTTGGGAAATGCAACCACTATTGATTTGGTACCTTTGAGGTTTTGTTTGTTTTTTATAATATTCGTTTTCACTTTTCAAACTTAGTGGCAGCTTTCATAGGGCTAAAACATCTCTGGCGCAACTGTTTAATAGTAACTTGCACAATATTCCCCATGGTAAAGAGGGCAGACTAGTTTTTCCTGAGGGCAGTCTGGTTCGGTGGCTAACTGAGAAGCTGTGGAAACCATTTCATGTTCATGTCTTTCTCCCTCCTTATCCCTGCAGCCTCTGCTCATTTAGTGTCAGTCATTGGTAGGGACACAGAACGAAACGCTTTGAAGGGTCTCAGTGTGAACGCTGAATTATCAATTCTTGCACAGCAGGAAGAATTTCTTGTTTCCTGGATTGCTCGTGCACTCAGCATGGCCAAGCATGTCATTTAACAAGGTGAGCTGGGCAGAGCACCCTCCCTCACCCCCAGGCATGACATGAGGCCTCGGGTCGTTGCTGCTGTCAAGTCAGTTCTCTGACCGCAGGAATCTGAGCTCACCAGCTACAGCTGAAACATTCATGTCCCGGAGGGACAGGCTCTGCGAAAGGCCCAGCTGGTCTTTGGGCTGTGTGGTATGAGTGATACTGGAAACCTTTAGCCCGAGATAAAACTGCTCTTTTGTTAAACCCTTGTGGGCTCTCTGGCGTTGGGTGGTAACACTCAAATGCGATTCCTAGATAGGATCTGCTCTCCTGAGTCTAGCCTCAAAAAAAGTTTCCGGCCGTTTCCTCTAGTTCTGTCGGTGGCCACCAGTGAAGAGGCCAGCACCATCCCATATATACTTTTAACCAAAAGCTATTCTTAATTTAACTGCATTATAATAATGACACATATCATTTCAAATGTAAAATAATTCTGTTTGAGTTCTTCAGCAGCTTCTCCTCATCTAATATGGAAAGTTTTCTCTTTAATTTTATCTCTATGCCTTCAAGAACATTTAGCAGCCTTTTAAACACCTGCTCTTTCCATGAGCTATGGTTTAGAAAAATTTTCTCTTTGGCCTATTTTCTTCTCTCCAGTAGCAGACTAGCAGCATAATAAAATACGGAGGGTCAAAGTCTGAAGACTGAATGTGGGGAAACATTGGAAATAATCTTTATTAATGTATAGAAATCTGCATGTGTTTTTGCTTTGGGTGCTTGCTTTCAACATAATGCTGAAAATTACAAAAACTATAGGCAGATTACTATAATTTCAGTGTCCATCACTTTTTTTTTTTTTTGATATCCTATGGTTGCCCCCACACCTACCCAAAGAGCTCCCTGTGGACTTTTCCCTAGAGAAAGATTATAGTGAGTACTTACCGAGGCACAGTTGCTTTCTGACTTGTCTTCCAGAAAGCCAATTTGGCATGGTGTCCTCTGATTCTGCAGCCAGTAGTCTGTTGACTCTAGCAGACTGTTACTGCAGAGAATCTGTTAAAATAGTTAAAAATAGTTTAAAAAAATAAAATAAAAAAGTAAAAATTTATTCAGCTCTAATGTGTTCCAGGGGCCTGAACTCCATCACAGAGCTCAAAGGGAATCTTTGGGAAGTTTTCTTTGAGTCAAGATTAGGAGCCTTGTTCATTTTGGACCTATCCAGCTAATGCAACTGGGATTCAAATGATTTAAAGTATTGGCCAATTTCCTTGAACTGAAAGTCCTTCAAAATATTTGAAGGAAGATGCCTACTAAAACAATTGCATTGGAAAATATTGCTGGGAATTTTGCTCTGTGTTAAAGTGGTAAACATGGATGTTGGGAAAACTATTTAATTATAACAAAGTGTACAAACTTGCAGCCTTTATGATTTACTGTACCTCTTTCCACAAGAGATCAGCTCTATTCTAGCAGCCTCTTTTCTGGGGCTGCCTAGGCTACAAACTTTTTCTTCTAAAATACATTTTTCTGCTTTCTGAGAAGCTGAAAGTAGTTAAAGACCTGCTATAGTGAGTACCGAGGTCAGTCTGTATTATGAGGGTAAAGCTTTGAATTTTATCCCTCAGTGCTGTTGACTCAATTCTACAGCAAAAGGACAAGTTTTGCCTCCTACAAAACCAAAGTGGGGCCACGGTATCTGTAGCCTAGAAAGAAGCCAAGTCAGGTTTCTAAGTCCCGTGGTCTAGACCAAACTGAATTCCTTATCTGCTGCCCCTGTATAAATATGCTCGACGTTAATGGGGGTCAAATCTCCCTTCTAATAAACAGAGCCCCAACGCATTATTAAAGCATACCTGCAGCAAGCTGCATTTAGAAAGGATTGTTCTTTTGAATGTGGCACGAGATTTCTTTGAAATGCCTCCACATCTGAAAGCAGCTCGTGCACCTGGACTGGCTATGCCCAGCCGTGGCCACCGTGACTGTGGAGCCAGAGTGAGGGGGCTCCTCTACCCACGCAACTCATGCGGGGAGGAAGAGCTTGTGAGAACGGGCCCGTTTGCACTCCTGCTACAGGGATGCAGCAGGAAGATCCATAGCAAGAAGGGAGGCAGCTGGCAGCAGGAGAGATCAGAGTCTGCCTTTTCTCTGCAATAAAGATAGGTGGCTGAGGATGGGGAGGAACGGGGAGAGGAGGTATGTGCACGCGTGACGTGGGGTGCGCGCGTGCACTGCCCAGCCCGTGAGGAGGGCGCTGACCGCAGGCCCTGAGCGCTCGGTGCCGAGCGCCTCTCAGGCTGGCGTCCCGCTGGGGCACTCGCATCGCCCGGGCTGAGGCCTCTATTCCCGGTACTGTGAGAGTCTGCTGAACTCGGCTGTGGCCCATCAGTTACACATTTTTTCCCCATTCTGCAAAATCCTTCTGTGAAAGACGATCCTTACTATAGATAACTGCAGGGAAAGAATAGCAACAGCAACGATGGTACCTGTAGAATACTTTATATATATATATCTTTATATATATATATGTTTTTATATATATATTTATAACCTCTTCCCCAGCAGCAGTGTTTACAAGCATATTTGACATAAGGGTGGTATATTTTATTTGTATTTCTGGCAATTCCTGCATTACACAGAAACTGGCTATGTTCTATCTATCTGGCCTTTAATTTTAATAATTATATTTTAAAACATAAATTTGTTGCCATACCTGTAAAAATTTAACCACAGCATTTTGCTGTATCTTACTGCATATTTTGCATTGACAGACCCTTATAGTATTTTGAAAAATTCTGGAACGTTTGACCTGTTTTGCTTAGGAAGAGAATCGAAAGAATTTGAGGCCTCCTCATTTCTCAGGGAAGATTACTGGGTGTACAGAGTGATCTAACGAGCTGACACAATTTTCTAATACTCGGGGACAATCCAGGAGTAAGCTTATTACTACCCACAGACTAACAACCACTCTAAAATTACCTCCCTGGCAGAAAGCCAGAGAGATAGCTAATTCTGTATTCCCTGTATTATCTTCCATTGATTTTTACATAAAAGCCAGAAGCAGAGGATGGATGAAGGAGTGGGAAACACCACATCTCATAAATCTGGTGTTCCTTTCGTGCCATCTGCAAGCAAGAGGCTTTGCACCTTTGCGCTGTTTGTTTTTGCTTTATCATGCAGAAGAAAGTAGGTTTATATGCAAAGAAACTCTGTACTATAGACCTGGCATGGCATTTCTACCTGAGACCTTCAGAATACAAATGTATTTAGTGCTTACAAAATACTCATAAAAAGACACAATACCCAAAGACTTTGTTCTGAGAACAACTAGGGCTTGTGAATGTTTCACATCTACAGTAGCCTCTTCTTGGTGGCTGCTAGCTGATCATGTTTACCAGTTCAATGACTCTGCACTCAATAAATAACCTCCTGTCTTCATGAGAATAGATTTGTGCCACCATAACTAACTCTGAGACTAGAGGGGGAAAAATAATATATTCCATATCCCATGGAAACAATTTTCCATTAGCATTATAAACTGTTTTTTTTTTATAAATGTTTTCAAATGTGGAAAAATAGAACTATTATAAACTGATGGGTAAAACACAGAATCAGTCATTTATATTCCTATTAATGTACCTGGGTTCCACAAAATGCTATTTTCTGAGGCTTTTATTAAGACATAGAATTGAAGATACATGCACACATACTCTATATTTTTATATATGAGATATATATATATACACACACACACTATATATATATATATATGTATATATGTATAAGATTTTTAGATTTCATCTGATGGTAGATCTTCTTATCCTCAAGTGCTGAAGCTATAACCACCTATTTGACATAATTTGGCATATAAAAGAAACAGTCCTTTAAGCGGAAACAGTCTTGTTATAACAAGTTGACTCATTAAATTTCCTTAAAAATCATAGCAACTTTGTCTTAAGTTTAATCACTTCAGATCTTTCTGCCCCAAATCTCAGCCAGTTTCTGAGAAATTAGACTAGACAGAAATTATTGTGTGGCAACAAATTGGTATACAACCCATCTTCTCATCAGAACAGTTGGATTGTAGCAGATTACTGCAATTAATCCATGAAATGAGCTGTGTAGTCCAAACTTCATATAGGTTTCTTCCTGTGGGATGTTAGATGACCCCTGGCACCTCTATCTCCATTTCAGGAGAAATAAGCAAATACTGGTAACACAGAAACAGAAGAAATGCTTCAGTCAGGCCTTGGTTGTCAAATTTCAAGTCACTCTAGGATGGTTTATAGATTGCTAGGTCTTTTGGTAATAAATACATTATGCATCTTTTCATGACAGACTGTTGAGTATGTGCATGTGATATGAGGCACGTGTGTGTATCCATTTGAACTTGCTAGGATGTTCATGCTTTTAAGGAACGTCCTGAGGGAGCTGTCCTAAATTAACAGGGCTAATGAACTTCTCAAATGCAGTGTGAGCACAGTTATTCCTCGGAGCTGTAACTTCACCCGTACATTTTGACCATCACTTCTGCAATTAGGCACGTCTTTACAAAATATACTGAGCTGCTCTGTATCAAAGCATAATAAATCTGAACTTGCTCTGCTTCAACTGTCACTCAGAGCCCTTCTTGCATACAGCCCACACTTTTATGGTGAGTATCACTGCTTGCCAAAATTTCCTCCTCCGATCTTGTAGTTTTCTTCATTCTTACCTAATTGAGACAAGTTGTGGGCCAACTCCTCTGACATACATCCTTAGTAATTTTGCTGAATTTGGTGAGGCTCCTTCTGATTTACAACAGTACTAGCTAAAACAGTACTTGATTCTTTGGCCATACTTATGTGTAACAGCCGCACATGCTATACTGCTGTGTATCTGCTGCAGAGTGGGATCATCACACTTGGAAAATAATTCAGGATGAGTCTGCAACGTTCACTAAATGTAAAATCAGCCGTAATTCATGGTTCTTAAAAAAATAAAAAAATAAATAAAAACCCAAACTTTTCCACTCTCATCTAGAGACTCAGCCGTCAGCATTACTCAGTGTGTTGTGAATCAATGAACTAAATCAGCCTCGAGCCAGTGTGCATTGGAAAAGTCACTCTT